CATAAACAAATCAAAAAAGGTTCTCGAGATTCTTTTAAACTACTTCAAAAACAAAGCAAGGGAGATCTCCGAGATTCTTTCAAACCACTGAAAAAACAAATAGAGGTCCCTGAGATTCTTTCATATTACTTCAAAAACAAAATAAAACAGGTCCCGGAGATCCAAACTACTGCAAAAATCAGACAAACGGTGTCCCCGAGATTCCTTCAAATCACGTAAAAAATAAAAAAGTAGAGATCACCGAGATTCTTTCGAATTACTTCTAAAACAAATCAAAAGGGTCCCCAAAGATTTTTTCCCACTACTTCAAAAACACACAAAAAGGGTCCCGAAATTCTTTCAAACTACTTCAGAAACAAAACAAAAAAGGTCCTGGCGATTCTTCCAAACTACTTCAAAAACCAGACACAGAAGTCCTCGAGATTCTTTCAAACTACTTCAAAAACAATTCAAAAAAGGTTCCCTAGATTCTTTTAAACTGCTTCAAAACAAATCAAAAAAGATTCTCGAGATTCTTTACTGAAAAAACAAATAGAGGTCCCTAAGATTCTTTTATACTACTTCAAAACCAGACAAAAGGTGTCCCCGAGATTCTTTTAAATCACGTAAAAAATAAAACAAAAAGGTCCCCCAGATTCTTTCAAACTACTTCATAAACAAATCAGAAAAGGTTCTCGAGATTATTTTAAACTACTTCAAAAACAAAGCAAGGGAGATCTCCGAAATTCTTTCAAACGACTGAAAAAACAAATAGAGGTCCCCCAGATTCTTTCAAACTACTTCATAAACAAATCAGAAAAGGTTTTCGAGATTCTTTTAAACTACTTGAAAAACAAAGCAAGGGAGATCTCCGAGATTCTTTCAAACCACTGAAAAAACAAATAGAATTCCCTGAGATTTTTTCATACTACTTCAAAAACAAAACAAAACAGGTCTCGGGGATCCTTCAAACTACTGCAAAAATCAGACAAACGGTGTCTCCGAGATTCTTTCAAATCACGTAAAAAATAAAAAAAAAAGATCACTGAGATTCTTACGAATTACTTCTAAAACAAATCAAAAGAGTCCCCAAGGATGTTTTCAAACTACTTCAAAAACACAACAAAAAAGGTCCCCGAGATTCTTTTAAACTGCTTCAAAACAAATCAAAAAGGGTTCTCGAGATTCTCTCAAACCACTGAAAAAACAAATAGAGGTCCTTAAGATTCTTTCATACTACTTCAAAAACCAGACACAAGGGGTTCCCGAAATTCTTTCAAACTACTTCATAAAAAAATCAAAAAAGTTTCTCGAGATTCTTTTAAACTACTTCAAAAACAAAGCAAGGGAGATCTCCGAGATTCCTTCAAACCACTGAAAAAACAAATAGAGGTCCCTGAGATTCTTTCATACTACTTCAAAAACAAAACAAAACAGGTCCCGGAGATCCTTCAAACTACTGCAAAAATCAGACAAACGGTGTCTTCGAGATTCTTTCAAATCACGTAAAAAATAAAAAAATAGAGATCACCGAGATTCTTTCGAATTACTTCTAAAACAAATCAAAACGGTCCCCAAGGATTTTTTCAAACTACTTCAAAAACACACAAAAAGGGTCCCGAAATTCTTTCAAACTACTTCAGAAACAAAACAAAAAAGGTCCTGGAGATTCTTCCAAACTACTTCAATAACCAGACACAGAAGTCCTCGAGATTCTTTCAAACTACTTCAAAAAAACTACAAGCGATTCCCGATATTCTTTCAAACCATTCCAAAAACAAAACAAAAGGGATTCCCGAGATTCTTTCAAACCACTTCAAAAAGAAAATAAAGGACTCCCCGAGATTTTTCGAACTACTTCAAAAACCAGACACACTGGGGTAACCGAGATTCTTCCAAACCACTTCAAAAACAAAGCAAGGGAGGTCCTCGAGATTCTTTCAAACCACTTGAAAAGCAAAACAAAAGAGGTCCTTGAGATTCTATTTCAAAAACCAGGTAGAAGGTGTCCCTGAGAATCTTTGAAATCACTTCATAAACAAAGCAAAAGTACAAATTACGTCAAAATCAAAACAAAAGTAGTCCCGAGATTCCTTTATACTACTGCAAAAACAAAACAAAAGAGTTCTCCGAATTGTTTTCAAATTACTTCAAATTCAAAACAAAAGTGGCCCCCGAAATTCTTTCAAACTATTTAAAAAACAAAACAAAAAGAGTCCCGACCTTCTTTCAAACTACTCCAAACACAAAACAAAAGGACTCCCCAAGATTCTTTTAAACTATGTACTTCAAAAACAAAAAAGGAGTTCCCGACATTTTTTCAAATTACTTCAAAATCAAAACAGAAGTGGTCCTCGAGATTCTTTCAAGCTACTTCAAATACAAAACAAAAGAAGTCCCCGAAATTCTTTTACACTACTTCAAAAGCAAAACAAAAGTAGTCTCCGAGATTCTAGCAAATTACGTCAAAATAAAAACAAAAGTAATCCCGAGATTCCTTTAAACTACTCCAAAAACAAAACAAAAAAGGTCCTGGAAATTCTTTTAAACTATGTACTTCAAAAACAAAACAAAAGGAGTCCCCGGCATTTTTTCAAATTACTTCAAAATCAAAACAATAGTGGTCCTCGAGATTCTTTCAAGCTACTTCAAAAACAAAACAAAAGGAGTCCCCAAAATTCTTTTAAACTACTTCATAAGTAAAACAAAAGTAGTCTCCGAGATTCTAGCAAATTACGTCAAAATCAAAACAAAAATAATCCCGAGATTCCTTTAAACTACTGCAAAAACAAAACAAAAGAGCTCGTCGAATTGTTTTCAAATTACTTCAAATTCAAAACAAAAGTGGTCCCCCGAGATTCTTTCAAACTATTCAAAAAATAAAACAAAAAGAGTCCCGAGATTCTTTCAAACTACTCTAAAAACAAAGCAAGAGGAGTCCCCGAGATTATTTTCAACTACTCCAAAAACAAAACAAAAAAACTCCGCAAGATTCTTTTAAACTACTTCAAAAACAAAAAAGGAGTCCCCGACATTTTTTCATATTACTTCAAAAACAAAACAAACGGAGGCCCCTAAATTTTTTCAAACTAATTCAAAATTAAAACAAAAGGGGTCCTCGATATTCTTTCAAGCTACTCCAAAAACAAAACAAAAGGATTCTCCGAGATTATTTCAAATCACTGAAAAGAACAAAACAAAGAGAGTCCCTGAGATTGTTTCAAATTATGTCAAAATCAAAACGAAATTGGTGTCCGAAATTCTTTCAAATTATTTCAAAAACAAAAGAAAAGGGATCCCCTAATTCTTCAAACGATTTCAAAAACCAGACATAAGAAGTTCTCAAGATTCTTTGACACTACTTCAAAAACAAAACGAAAGGGGCCTCAGAGATTCTTTTAAATTACATCTAAAACAAAACAAGACATCTCCACGATTCTTTAAAACCACTTCAGAAACAAAACAAAAGAGGTCCCCGAGATCCTTCAAACTACTTCAACTACTTCAAAAACCAATCAGACGGTGTCCCCGAAATTCTCTCAAACTACTTCCAAAACCAGACACAAATGGTCACCGAGAGTTTTCCAAACTACTTTAAAAACAAAAAAGTGATCGCTGACATTCTTTCAAACTACTTCAAAAACCAGACGGAAAGGGTTTCCAAGATTCCTTCAAATTACTTCGAAAACAGAACACAAATGGTCACCGAGGTTCTTTCAAACTACCTAGTTCAAAAACAAAACAAAAAGTGGTCATCAAAATTCTTTCAAATTACTTCGAAAGCAAGACAAATGTTCACCGAGATTTTTTCAAATTGCTTCAAAAACAATACACAGAAAAATCCGCGAGATTCTTTCAAATTATTTGGAGGACACGGGACGTAGTTATCAGAAAAAAGAACTTCAGAAAAGTTTTATATGCTAAATCTTTAGTATGACTAGTTATGTTACTCGTATGTCAACAAGAATTAAACCCTTGTTGGACTTAAAATGATTTATTTATGAGAAGTAACATATTTTTGACTTCCCGTTTCATATTGTCAAATTCTGGAATAAGAACTTCCGGCGAAACGCTTTTACATGTCTCTCACTTTTAGGTCTTCAACTGCATCCACTGACTGTTTAAAACTAGTTTTTCAAATCGGGAAAAATAAGCCAAACGTTCACAAAAAATCACACAGTATAACCATAAGGACGATTTATTTTAATTCAGTACTAATAATCATTACTAGTTTTAGTGCATCTATTATCATGAATTATTCAATATGCGGGATTTCTATAAATGATGGTAGAGTCGAAGTAGATCATGGAAGCGTCCCGCCTATCACTTTATATGTATTTTACTAAATATTTAATATTATTAAAAAATAAAACTAATTCATTTATTGTGGTTAAACATCACAGTAAATGTTGAAAATCATTTATAAAAACCGTGTACTTCGTAGTCTAAATGAACACACGAATTTACCCGAATTTTGTAGAAATTACCCTGAAACAGATTTTTAAAAGCTGCCATGAAACTAAACTGAGATTTACCTCAACCCTCATCCTTAAACTAGTTACTGTAGACAAACACAAAGGACCATAAAAAGTGTTTGCATTAGTCGTACCCTACCAGTTTCAATTAGCAGGAAAATGTCACAATATTGCTCGTGCTGTGTACCTTTGTAACTATAACAAACACAACCGTCTCGATTTGATGTTTTCACCTTAACTTTTCATTTCCTCGTCCATGTCCACGACAAACTTAATAAGTCAAAATTGTTATGTTTTCAACTTAACTTTGACGAAGCAAACACTCGTAACTTCGTTACAATGTCTGGTTTCTTAGTAAATCGGATACTTTATTAACTCGTAAAGCCATGCTATCGCAAGAACTTCATCAACCTTTACAACAGAACTTTAGTTTTTAGTTCTCGAACGATTGATAACAGCACAAGTTTTACAATGGCTTTATTTTTAAAAATGTCTCAACAAGAAAGTTATATTGAGTGACGTGTCTCAGCAGTTTTACTTTTCCAGATCCGTGCCAGGAAGAAAGTGGCCATCACCGTCCTCATTTTCGTCCTGGTGTTCGCCATATGCTTCCTGCCGTCTCACATGTTCATGCTGTTTTTCTATTTCCACCCAAACGCCGGGGATTTGTACAACGCTTTCTGGCACTACCTCAGAATAATAGGTTTCTGCTTGTGCTACCTCAACTCCTGCGCTAATCCTGTCGCACTTTATTGGGTCAGCGGAGCTTTCAGGAAACACTTTAACCGGTAAGGACTTCCCGACTTGTAATAAATTAATGATACGTGTCCCCGTTAAGTCGCAAGTGATTTTTATTTATTATGGAAAAATAACCAGGTGGATGTACGATAACCCAATTATATTTTTAGAAGCTTAATTTTCTACTGATTTTCACCAGTTTCGTCACAAAATATAAAGAAGTATAAGTAAACAACCAACAATCTCACGAAAACTTGAAAGGTAGTGTAACATCAGATACATTAATTAAGAAGAGTGCTCCAGATAAATAAAAAACTTGGCTTTAAAAGCTATAAACAAGAATTTCAGAGACTTGGGTCTTTCTCCTTACATCGGTTATTTCAATTAATTACTCAGAATAAATTCAGTTAATTGGAAGTGAAAAGTACCGCACAATTCTCAAGATGTGACGCAATAAAAAATTAAATCTTGGCGTTTCGCTACTGACAAATCATGTAAATATCCGATTTGATTGCAAAAAAAAATATTTTTCTTACGTCTGATTGATCGAATCGAAGCGTATTTCGCCGGTTTTGATGAGCCTGTGAAGTTCGCAAACCCAATATATTTTTTAACAAATCTGAGCCCCCGCCGGGAGCTCGTTAACGCTCCAAAAAAATTTACTTTTGCGTTTTGTTTGTGCAAAATGTGAGCGATATTTCTAAGTCATTAAACACGAAAGATTTGTATGTGCACTTTGTAAAAAAATTATATCAGAATATTTTTAGCTGTAATGTAAATATAACGTCTACATATACAGGGTCGCAAGAAGTACTAAGTAGTGTCGCATTTATATATAGCAAAAAAAGCTGTAGCGACCCTCGGTATAGTGCCTAAGCAGTCAAGGCGGATTCATCAACCACAAGTACCTTCTTAGCTTTCGCGTGGGAAATAAAAACTGTTTGTCGTTATAAACTCCGGAATGCATCTGTCTAATGCATATCGAGCAGCTTTAATGTCGGCTTTGAAAAGACTGCACTGGATTTATGTCGCTAGCTATTCTTATTACACTTTTATCGCAACAGATGCAGTTTCATGAGACAAATTGTCATGCAATTTTCCCCGGGAGAGCTGTTCATGCACGGTATACTTGCTGTTTATACTGTATCGTTAAAGCTGATGTATTAGACACGAAACATAATTTTATCGCTAAGCAGCTGTTAAAAGGAAAAATTAGAGCAGAGATTACCGTAACCCATATATCAAAGTGGTTATAATAATAATAAAGTTTATTTACGGTTTTAGCTTTACATAATAATTGCATAATAATTAGTTAACCTAGCACTACTGAACGAACGAGGAACTTACGAAAGAGGAGATTATTCTAGATATATTTCCCCACATTAACAAAGCGTAGGAGAAAACTCCCTGAAATAGTAAGTAATAGCCATTCTTAGTACTGGTGACACCTATTTGGTCAAAATCCTGGTGATGTTAATCTCATGTGAGGACAATACCCAGAAATTTGACTTAGTTGTGGTTTACTATATTTACGATCAGTGTTGGGCATTATCTAGATATTTGTATATTGATAAAGTATCGACATACATATTTGGGTATCTATTATCTGTATATAGATAAAATCAAATTTAAGCACAAAATATCTGTGTCTAGGTACAAAATAAGTGGCCAAGATACAGACACATCTTTTTTATTGTACTTTTTTTTATTAGTTGATAGTTTAGTTACTATAGTACTAATTTTGACATTTCATGTTGGTGATGGTAGTACCATAGACAAAAATAGGGACAAGAGGTCCACTAATGGTGTTCTATGACTAATACTCCATTTAATCATTTTAGCCATTTTCTATACCGTAGCCTTCAGTACTATCCAACTTTAAGTATAATCCTGAAGGATAATAAATGTGAGGAAGAACCATTGGAGATACCGAAGAAATGAAAGCAAAAAAAAGTATTAAGTGAAATTTCGAAAATTTTGTTGAAAACTGGTCCAATAATTGGTAGTATTTTGTACATTTTTGTATATTTCGAAAGACGATTCTGGAAGAACCATTGGAGATATCGAAGAAATGAAAGCGGATATGACTTCTGCGGCCCGAAATCTACAAGAAAATGTATTAAGTGATATTTCGAAAATTTTGGTGAAAATTGGTCCAATAATAATTGGTAGTATTTTGTACATTTTTCTATAATTCGAAAGACAATTCTGGAAGAACCATTGGAGATATCGAAGAAATGAAAGCGGATATGACTTCTGCGGCCAGAAATCTACAAGAAAATGTATTAAGTGAAATTTCGAAAATTTTGTTGATAATTGGTCCAATAATTGGTGGTATTTTGTACATTTTTGTATATTTCGAGGGACGATTCTGGAAAAACCATTGGAGATATCGAAGAAATGAAAGCGGATATGACTTCTGCGGCCCGAAATCTACAAGAAAATGTATTAAGTGAAATTTCGAAAATTTTGTTGAAAATTGGTCCAATAATTGGTGGTATTTTGTACATTTTTGTATATTTCGAGGGACGATTCTGGAAAAAGCATTGGATATATCGAAGAAATGAAAGCGGATATGACTTCTGCGGCCCGAAATCTACAAGAAAATGTATTAAGTGAAATTTCGAAAATTTTGTTGAAAATTGGTCCAATAATTGGTGGTATTTTGTACATTTTTGTATATTTCGAAGGACGATTCTGGAAGAACCATTGGAGATATCGAAGAAATGAAAGCGAATATGACTTCTGCGGACCGAAATCTACAAGAAAATGTATTAAGTGAAATTTCGAAAATTTTCTTCAATAATTAATTGATGGTATTTTGTACATTTTTGTATATTTCGAAGGACGATTTTGGAACAACCATTGGAGATATCGAAGAAATGAAAGCGGATATGTTTTCTGCGGCCCGAAATCTACAAGAAAATGTATTAAGTGAAATTTCGAAAATTTTGTTGAAAATTGGTCGAATAATTGGTGGTATTTTGTACATTTTTGTATATTTCGAAAGACGATTCTGGAAGAACCATTGGAGATATCGAAGAAATGAAAGCGGATATGACTTCTGCGGCCCGAAATCTACAAGAAAATGTATTAAGTCAAATTTCGAAAATTTTGTTGATAATAATTGGTCCAATAATTGGTGATATTTTGTACATTTTTGTATATTTCGAAGGACGATTCTGGAAGAACCATTGGAGATATCGAAGAAATGAAAGCGGATCTGACTTCTGCGGCCCGAAATCTACAAGAAAATGTATTAAGTGAAATTTCGAAAATTTTGTTGAAAATTGGTCGAATAATTGGTGGTATTTTGTACATTTTTGTATATTTCGAAAGACGATTCTGGAAGAACCATTGGAGATATCGAAGAAATGAAAGCGGATATGACTTCTGCGGCCCGAAATCTACAAGAAAATGTATTAAGTCAAATTTCGAAAATTTTGTTGATAATAATTGGTCCAATAATTGGTGATATTTTGTACATTTTTGTATATTTCGAAGGACGATTCTGGAAGAACCATTGGAGATATCGAAGAAATGAAAGCGGATCTGACTTCTGCGGCCCGAAATCTACAAGAAAATGTATTAAGTGAAATTTCGAACATTTTGTTGAAAATTGGTCGCAGATTGGTCGTATTCTGAATAGATTTGTACTGTTCAAAGGACGATTCTGGAAGAACTATTGGAGATATCGAAGAAATGAAAGCGGATATGACTTCTGCGGCCCGAAATTTACAAGAAAATGTATTAAGAGAAATTTCGAAAATTTTGTTGAAAATTGGTCCAATAATAATTGGTGGTATTTTGTACATTTTTGTATGTTTCGAAAGACGACTCTGGAAGAACCATTGGAGATATCGAAGAAATGAAAGCGGATATGACTTCTGCGGCCCGAAATCTACAAGAAAATGTATTAAGTGAAATTTCGAAAATTTTGTTGAAAATTGGTCCTATAATTGGTGGTATTTTGTACATTTTTGTATATTTCGAAGGACAATTCTCAAAGAACCATTGGAGATATCGAAGAAATGAAAGCGAATTTAACTTCTGCGGCCCGAAATCTACAAGAAAATGTATTAAGTGAAATTTCGAAAATTTTGTTGAAAACTGGTCCAATAATTCGAGGGTGGCTCTCTCTAAATTTTTCACTAAAATTTTACCGTCGTGAGACAGAGGACGATTTTTCATTTAATATTCAACTGAATTCATTCATTATTTTTATTGAAAGTCAAACAATTTCACCCGCCTAAGATGAAAATGAAATCTCGCAAGTGCGTTACTGCTAGTGGTCACTGTTCGAGCAGGACCCGATTCCAGACAAATACAACGACTAGACGCACGGTTTCTATGGCAACCGTGTAAATAAAACGTCTAAATGAGTCTGATCTCCGCTTTAGAGTCATGATTTGGTCAGAAATCATAGAGAAGAGTAGTCATAGTTTAAATCAAATAACGGTTGACGAGTCCTCGATTTATGTTGGCAGCAGTGTTTGTTAATAACTAGGAATAAAATTAACTAGAAGAAATGTCAGAACGACACGTTTTACTTTCGACAAATTGACACTAGATTTACCAGAATATTGCCGCTTACTGTTTTTCATTCAAGTTACACGAATTACAATTATAGTGAAACAAGGTTTTTATTAACGTCGACTATTTAAATTTGGCGCTTGCCTTTGGCGGTTGAGGTCTCCAATGTCAATAAGGGTGATTTTGGAAAATCAGCCGGTATCTCGCATGTAAGTATATTAATCTATGATTTGGGCTCCGCTTTTATCAGCGCTGCAGCAACATATCGTGTATTCAAGACACAACATCTTTACAAGTAGGTTTTGATATATTTTATATAAATGGAGCGAGACAAAAAAATTAGTTTTTTTCATTATGACACAAATTTCCGGACAATTTTTAAATATTGAAAATTACTATTTTGCTATGTGCAGAGTGTTTGTAGACGTTGTAATTTTGATGGGGCACATGCCCTTGGGCCCCCTGGCACCAGCCGCCGCTGCAGTTTAAAGATAATCGATAAGCTTGAAATGATTTA